ATTTGCCAGTCTGTGTCTTTTGATTGGGGCATTTAGTCCATTTACATTTAGGGTTAATATTGTTATGTGTGAATTTGATACTGCCATTTTGGTGCTAGCTGGCTGTTTTGCCCATTAGTTGATGCAGGTTCTTCATTGTATTGATGCTCTTTGCCATTTGGCATGTTTTTGGAGTGTCTGGTACTGGTTGTTCCTTTATATGTGTATAGCCTCTTTCAGGAGCTCTTGTAAAGCATGCCTGGTGTTGATGAAATCTCTGAGTACTTGGTTTTTCCAAATGATTTTATTTTTCCTTCACTTATGCAGCTTAGTTTGGCTGGATATGTGATTCTGGGTTGAAAGTTCTTTTCTTTAAGGATGTTGAATATTGGACCCCACTCTCTTCTGGCTTGTAGGGTTTCTGCTGAGAGATCTGCTGTGAGTCTGATAGGCTTCCCTTTGTGGGTAATCCGACCTTTCTCTCTGGCTGCCCTTAGCATTTTCTCCTTCATTTCAACCCTGGTGAATCTGACGATTATGTGCCTTGGGTTTGCTCTTCGTGAAGAATATCTTTGTGGTGTTCTTTGTATTTCCTGGACTTGAATATTTGTCTGCCTTGCTAGGTTGGGGAAGTTTTCCTGGATAATATACTGAAGAGTATTTTCCAGCTTGGATTCATTGTCTTCGTCGCATTCAGGTACACCTATCAAATGTAGATTAGGTCTTTCAGAAATAGTCTTATTCTAATCCAAAGAACATTGCACAACCGTTTCGCATACGTGTAGTAGACTTTTCCTGCTGCTGTCTCTGTTGGCTTTAGAAAACATTGCCACCTAATATAAGTAATGAATACTACATTCCATGTAACCTTGGAAAAATCAAAAGGCTTATCATTATTTTCCTTATCTATAAAGTAAGATAATAACAGCTGCACTACTTACCTCATGGAGTTATCATACAGAGGTCCAATGAGATCATGTACGTGGAAACAATTTGTAAATTGTAAATCTCGATTTGAAGTCAAAAGATTACAGTTATGATCTGTAAAAATGTTGCTCTTATGAACAAGCACACACATGAATTAAGATCATCTTTCTGTTCTCTGGTATAAACAATGAGTAAAGAATTATGAGAAACCTGATGTCAAAACCTCTCTTCTACTTATAAACTCTGTGGCAGGTCTCTAAGTTTCAGTTGCCTTAAATATAAAGGGAGGTTAATAATACCTTTCCTTCTGGGATGATGAAATAAGTAAATTGAATAATATTTTGCAAAGGCCTAACCCTGTGCTTCCTCACTCCATTCTCTCTCTGGGCCTGGCTCCTTGAATCCTGGGAGGATGG